ACAACAAAAAATATGTAAGTCTTGGAGGATTCCTTTGTACCTTAAAGGAAAAAAAAACCCCAAGAAACTCCTTATTGAACTCTCTCGTATAATGAGAGGAAAGAAAATTAACTATTTTGCAGCATTCCTTAATAATGCTGAATTACTGCCCTAAGAACGCTGTCATGCACTTTGACCCTCCTGTAGAGAACAGTCCAAAAAACCAGATAAAGCTCAGAAATTGTCTTATAGACCTGGCCAAGCAAGTTAAACTGAAGAACCCAATATTAAAACTGTGGGAAAGGAAGATCAACACTGGAGTATGGAAATATTCAATACAGGCATAGTAGTGTTATCCATTCTGTAATAAAGACTGGATCTTTGCAACAGGATTGGCTGATCTTCATGTGTGGGATAGGCTGTGGAGAGGAGTGTCTTGAGGTCTTTCAGGGAAGATTTTTTTGTGTTGAATTTTAGGGAATCATTTCTCTGTAAGCTCCTTTCTTTGTGTTATGTTCCCGTTAAGTCCACAGCAACAAGACTTTGATCTGTGAGGAAAATAAGCTGTGACAAGTATCTTCAACTTATAAAATTTCCAGCTTTTGTTGTTGAAGCTGTTGGTAGGTTTAGAAAGACACATAAATGCTGACAAAAAACCAACTTTATGAGTAGGGCAGGTTGAACGTGTTTATAATTTGGAGAAGTTATGTAGGCTTATCTATGCTGTCAGTTTTCCAGTTCTAAGTCTATTGTACATCCTCTAGCCCAGATGGGTTAGCAGAGGATTGTTAGATTTCAACATTTTCACAAAATGCTGTGTTTCAAAATGGACTCAAAACCCTCTTGTGGGTTGCTGGTCACTATGAACTATACTCTGTGGATGCAGAGTTATTTCTTGTTGGAAATAACTTGTTAGTCCTGTGTTGGATCAAAATAGAGAAGAAATGGCCATAATTGAAAAAACTGCCTTTGTTGCACAGGTGGGTCTAGGTTGTGCTCTCCTTCACTCCCCTTACACAGCTATTGCAAATCAACCTTGTAACTCATTGGACACTCACCCATGCACCCACCTTGAATTTTAGTATTCTGTGGTGGAATTGGATCTTCCCAAGTCTGGACATTGTGAACTAAGATGCCTGTAGACTGGAAACCTGCAAGTTGCCTTGGAAGGTCAAGATCCTGACATCTTGTGCAGGGACAGCACTGATGTGTGTGCTGGGAATCAGCTTGCACTTCATCTTTGCTTTGTTGTCCGTACCCACAACTTTTGACTGATCAAAGTTCAGCTTATCCCACTTTTGACATTTGTATGTAATACAGATAAGCCGTTCTGTTCAGGATTGTGTGTTTAGTTTTCTTCTTTCCCCCCTTTTCCCCCTCTGTTCACAACAGCTTTTGTAAATATAATGGCATAAATTCAGTTATGACTCATCCTTAGAGGGTAAAAGGAAAATCTGGTGGAAATAAGATTGTGACTAATTGCAAGACTGAGGCAAATGGCTAAAAGTGCTTAGATATTTCATGAAACTGTTTCTTTTGCTCTATAACTTCTGCTGAAGTGATGCTTGCAGCACTTTCCTATTGTTGCTGTTGCCACTTCTGGAAAATAAAAAGTAATGTGGAAGTCATAATAGATTTTGGAGTTTCTAGCAAATCTCTTTTTTTATTTTTTGTCACTGAAATTCTCTTTGTGGCATTGTTAGGGGGAAGAGTATCTTGCTGAGGCTTTTTGTTGATTTTTGCAGTTTTTCCTGAAGAGGGTCAGGACCGGTCTGACTTCTTCTGTAGATATGTTTCTGTCATCCTGTATTTCCATGTATTTGTGTGAGTGTATTTGCTTTGTTGTTTGTTTTGGACACATCTTGGGTCTTTGGATCTTGGAATGTCTTTTTTTTTTAGCAAGTTTCCATGCCAGAAACAGTGCTTATGTACTTAAGGTATTATTCTAAAAATGCTTTAAGATTAAGTGGAAATGTCAAAATGGAGGCTAAAAGTGACTGTTAATTTAGGAATCTGTGTTCAGGATTATGGTTTTCCTCCAAATAGATTGTGAGGGGATAGGCACTGAAGAGCAGTCCTCAGATTTGACCAGGAATAGCTTTTGGTGGCAGGCTGAATGTTAAACCAGACTATCTGAAGGATATGAAGGAGGAGGAAGTTAAACCCAGAATGTAAATTGCACAGAGAAAAGCTGAGAGGAAGATCAGATGGGATGGCAGATGATTAGAGAAGTACAGCTCTTGTGCCCAGTTCTGCCCATCAACACCAGTGTTCTGTAGTTTCATTTTCTCACACAGCGCTTTACTTTTTCACCTCCTTTTTGAGAATAAAACCTAAAGCTGAGCCTTGCAGGCATTTTTCTACAAATCAGAAAGGACTACTTACACTTGAAAACAAAATTTATTATTTTTTTTTTAGCTACAGAACACCAGAGATATTCCCACCCTGCCCAGCAGAACGGGTGAACGGCCAAACGTATGAGTTTTTCCTTTGATATGAAAATATTTCCCCAGCTCTTACAAAGACTTAGAGCTTTAGTTTCCAAGATAGCATCCCTGTTGTTAATCCCATCTGTACTCTGTGGGATCTCTCAAGTGACATATCACTAACATTTGAGGTAAAAATAGGCTGTTTTGCTGAGTGATGGTAAGGAACAGCAAGATTTTTACTGGTTAAAGTTATCACGTACTCATACTCATTTACATGCCACTCATGCTGACCTATATCAAATAGCAGAAAACTGAGAGTAGGTACTAGGAGATTAGAGGAGAACAGTTCTTTATGCTGTGCAAGTCAATGCTTGAATCTTCCAGATAGATGCAATGTAAAAGTGGCTTTTTATTTTATTTTTTCTTTTTTTTTTTAGGATTTCTAGGTTTTTAACTACAATTTTTATTCACTATATGAATAAAACCTGTGATTTAAATCAATATTAAAGTATTGGGAGATGAGCAGCAGGTGATAGATGCCTCTTCATAGCATTGTGTGGTTATTTTATGCAGATTGATGGGGTGGTATTTGAAAGAATGACATTTTTCCTTTCAGTTTATTTGAGAGATGTATTGAAATTATTGATCTGGCTTTAAATATCCATTAATGTCCTATTAGGTTTTACAAATGACTCTTGGGTTTTCTGTGTGTGTCTTGATTATTTTTTTCTACCTGCTATGCTAACAAAATACTAATTTCAAGTAAAGGTTTTGCAATATAGATGTGAAAGGCTACCTTATCTTCAGAATCGTTAACCATCCTGCCTGGCACTTTGCTTTCATTCTTAGTTTTGCTTTCAAACCTGTTCCTTACTTACTTCCCACTCCCTGCCAAAGAATCCAATCAGCCTTGCTGCAGGTCATGTGTGTAATAAATATAACCAGCCCCAGGAAGAGCCATTGCCTCCATGGCCCCATGGCTGGAGCAGGTGGCATTTAAAGCACACACATATACGTACATGAAAAAATAACACCTTTGCTCCATGGAGTCTTTATTTATACAAAGTGGAGCAAACTTGTGAGGAGAGCGTGAGCCAGAGCCGCTGTGCTGCAGCCAGTGGTCATTTTCCTTGGGAAGTGGGATGTTGTCATTCACATCTGATTTAAACCTGCTGACTGCCATGAATGCTAAGCTGTTACCTTTTTATAGGTGAATGTCTTTCATTTTCCTGTTATAAGCATTCTGGTCACGATCTTTTGTAAGGTAATTCTTGATTTTTCCTCTACATTAGGTATCCAAAACATTGCACAGAATTAATTTACACTAGGTGGGAACAAAAGATGAAAGATTTGTTTTACTTCACTTGGTGACAGCTGTGGAGCTTTACTAAAGCAAATTGTTTAATTTAAAATTTCTCAACCTGAGACTGAAGTACCTGTGTGCTCAGTAAGCAAATCCTTTGTGGAAGATTCTGGCTAAAACCACACGTGATGAGGAGAAATAGGTGGTGGCAATGCAAAGGTGTCAGGTTTTGGCTGGCATAGAGTTAATTTTTTTTTCTAGCAGCTGGTACAGTGCTGTGTTTTGGATTTAGGGTAAGAATAATATTGATAACACACTGATGCTTTAGTTGTTGCTGAGCAGTGCTGACACAGAGTTAAGGCCTTTTCTGCCTCACCCTACCCCACCAGCGAGTGGGCTGGGGGGGCACAAGAAGCTAGAAGGAGACACAGCTGACCCCAGCTGCCAAAGGGATATTCCATAAATTATGGCATCATGCTCAGCATATAGGGTTGGGGGGAAAGCTGGATGGAGGCTGCTGCTCAGGAACTGTCTAGACATCATTTGAAAGGTGGTAAGCAATTGCATCGTGCATCACTTGTTTATTATTATTATTGTTATTGTTATTATTATTTTTTGACTTCTTTTCGGTCCTATTAAACCATCTTTATCTCAACCCACAAATTTACTTCCTCTCTCCTCCAGTTCTCTCCCCCCTTCCACTGAGGGAGAGTGGGCAAATTGCTGTGTGGTGTTTAGCTGCCTGCCATGTTAAACAATGACACAGGGGTACGAGGACTTATTTGGGTTACCGTTAGAGGAGCTGGGACAATCCATCAGCAAGCAGCTGATGGGGAGGCAGAACAGCAGCCGTCCTGCTGGCGGGAGCAGCCGGCTTGTTTGGTACCTCCATCTGGCCCATCCTCCCCACGTGTGCTGATGGAACCCACTGGGGAGGATGGGGGAAGCAGTGCTGCTTCTGCAGGGCAGTGCCTGTCTCCAAACATGTAAAGGATCTTGCAGATGCTTGATGGTAATTGCTGTCTTGCCCCTATTTTATGCCTGTGGTCTGTAATTGATGGCATGCAGTGTTTAAATTGAATATATCTTGTGTAAGACCTGCAGAATACAGTGTGGATGCTTCAACCTCGTTGATTGCATAAAATAATTAAACTATTTTTTAATAGGAAACAATCATTGCAAGTATGATTAGAAGTGTTATTTTGAAATGCATGTCTTTTAAAAGAAAATCCTTTTCTTTTTCTTGTCTCTTTTTCTTTAAAACAAAACCCGTTTCTGCTGGCGAACAGGCATCAGAGGAAGTGTCAAAATCTCTGCAAGCAATGAAGGAAATTCTGTGTGGGACCACAGACAAAGAGCCACCTACAGAAATCGTGGCCCAGCTGGCGCAAGAGCTATACAACAGTGGCCTTCTAGTGACGCTTATTGCCAACCTGCAGCTGATAGATTTTGAGGTAGGTCAGCATCCATAAACCTTTTCAACTCCTTGGTTTCAGTGTTGTCAGTGAGCAGAACTGTATTTTTGTGAAACCTAAATAATTTTATTGCATTCAAAACTAATTTTCACGTGCTGAAGAAAGCAGCTGCTCTAAATTGGTCAGTGTCGTGAAAGATGTGGTCATACACTGCCAGTGAATAAAATGCATGTGATTTTTTTTTTTTGATTAAAACAAAAACAATGACAAGATATTACCATGTGTATCCAAACAAGATAGGAAATGATGCTGGGAATACTGTCTAGGACCGACCTTGTAAGCTGGAGTGATAAAACTCTTTGAGATAGTGCAACTGTCAGACCCACTGTCTCTGAAGAGTATGTCTGATTTAGAAAGGGTTCAGAGACATGGAATAAAAATAATTAGAAAAATGGGAAAATCTCATGTGGCAAAGACTGAAAAAAATTAGAATAGTTTAGTTGAGAGGAAAGGAGTTGAAAAATCTGTTAAAAACTCACAGCAGGGTAAATTGGGTGGCCCTCACTTAATTGTTTGGATTAAAAGAAGAAAGGAATATAACTTTTTTAGAAGGATTAATCTGAATCTCTCTATATATATCATTTAATTTTATATATATAAATATATATATATAATTATATATTTTGTGGAACTTCTTACCAGCTTTGTTGTTAATATCAAAAATGTAGTAGACAACTGCTAAGACAACTACGTTTGCTTATAAGTAAGAAAAAGAGGAGTTATAGTGGAAAAGACTGCAGTAATTCAGCATAGATATAAACCCTTTTAACTGATATTTGACTGGTAGGGACTGGGAAGAAACTTTGTCAATTCATTGTAATATTCCTGTGGTCTACAGTCAGCCGGGATAGTGTCCCCCAGGGACTGCTGTTATGAGTTCTGTGATTTATGTGGCTCCTGGCTGCTAGTGAATTGTTGCAGGTGTCCGAGCACCAGGGAGAAATCCCCAGCTCCCAAGAGCCAAACGTCCACCACTGAGCTCTGAAGCAGGAGCAGTACCCAACCTATAGGCAGACACTGAATTAATAAATAAGTTTCTCAGAGAGATCTTCTGATGCTCTCAGAACCCCCCTTTTGTGGGAGTCACTTTCTTGTGGAAGTTTTTTCTCCTTATATTGAAATGATTTTCTTTCCGTTTTGTACATGAATGGAAGGGAGGAACAATGGAAGACTTATGTTTTCTTTTTCCCCCTTCTTCCCCCCACGCCCAGTAAAGCTAGGATTCAAGGACTTATTTGTTTATATTGTATTAATTTTTGAAAGTGTTGTTAGTAGAGTTCTCTCTCTCTTTTCTCAAGTCTCAAGTTTAGGAGGGTTTTTTTAATACTAGAATTTATTGAGAACTTTTCCTTTGTCTTTTCCTTGACACCTCTGGTTACTGTTGTGTCATAATTGCAAAAATACTCAAAACCCATCAACCCAAACCCCTAAAAACTTTTTAAGAAAAAAGGAGATGGGGGAGGGGAAGATACTGTCAGCACAGAAGGGACACTACTGCATTTTTTAAATTACATGACAGTCTGTATTGCTTCTGTCAGAAAAAAAAAATTCTGTATGGACATATTGAACGCACAGTCCTTAAATGAAAGCACTGAATGAAATACCTAATCTGTTGCTGAATTACTGTTATTACAATTTCAATAATTCTAGTTGCAAAATAGATTTTCCCATGATAAAACTTTTCTAACCATTTAGCAAAGCTGTTATACATACTCTTTTGGCAAAACACTAGAAACAAAATGCCATCGAACAAGAGGATAGTAAGAGTATGTGCTGCTTTGTGTTCATATCCCCACTGACTTTTCCAGTTTATGAACTCTTCTGCTTCCATTTTGTTATTATGGTGGCCACAGCTGGTATTTTGGTTTCTTTGTTTAACAAGCAATTTCATCACTCTATAACATGCAAATTATTTTTTTGATCTGTACATAATGGTAGAAGGCAAAATCATAAATTACTTGAATACCGGATTTCCAAAGGAAATAATGTTTCTGTAGGTTACTTTGTTTTATCATGACTCCCTGTCTACTCCTCAGTAACCCTGTTGCCCACTTGGATCCCAGTTTTTCACAGCTGTACTTCCTTTTGAAGATGTGTTTTCAAAGACTGTGTAGGGGAGACTCACACACATCCATCACACATCCATAGAAAACACAGCTTTATTGCTTCTGCCACTCAAGAAACATGGTATCATTTTGGTGATGATATTGTTAAGAAGCGCTAAAGTTGGGTTTGGGCGGGAGCTCAGAATCAAAATCAGACTGAATTTTTGGAAACTTAAAATACTAAATTTATTGTTGAACTTTGAAGAACTGGGGAAAGTGTACACGCTGAAAAAGTCAACTAAAAATGTAGATGTTACTAACTGCGTGTAAGCCTAAAGGCTCACAAGCTGTATAGCCTCTAAAATAGGCAGTAAATAGCTGCAAGCCTGGTACTGGTTATGTTAGAATCTTTTCCTTACTTTACCTTGAAATGGGAGCTAAGTTAAGGGATAGGTATCATACAATTTGTTATTTATATGACACATCCTTGGCAGTTTTTCTTGTTCATGTCTAGGCACTTTCTCTTCATGCTGCCTTATCTTGTGCTTCAGTGGCCATATATATTTCATTATAAGGCAAAACTGAATTGCAGATCCAAGTAAGAAGCATTTCAAAAGTATTCCTACAATTTTCATATATGGTGGTGAGGGAAGTCTGTCCTGGTTCCCTCCTATCTGCCTCTACTCCCTCCTGGAGAAGCCAGGGAGATCAACTCTGGCTTTCGTCTTCCTGGATCTCTAGAAAATGAGATATAATTGCATACATATATATCTATATCTATCTATTTATCTTGTCTCCTCTCTGCTATTGCATATAAAGCTGCAATGCACCCAATATTAAGTAACTAATATAAAATTTGACATAGCAGAGAGGATTGCTAAATTTTTGGCCATCTTTACCTCACTCTTTCAACAGCCCTTCTTTATCTGGATTGGTTTCCTCTTGGAGTACCTGCTGAAGCCACTGGGGATCACAGGATTCCAGGCATACAATAAGAATGTCTTAAAGATGGGGGAGAATGGGATGACTTTATACAGAATTAACCTAATTTGAAAGGCTGTCCAAGGGTCAAAAAAAAGTGTTGCAGATAAAGGCAGATGGCCTGGCCTGCTCTGATTTGATTCTCCTGTTTAATTCCCAGAGTCCCCAAATCTCTGAGTCTCCAAGCCAGATGGGCTGGAAAAGCAGAATATTTTGTGGTTTTCAGCAGTGATTTATTTGTAGAGGTGAAACCAGGGAATTCTCCTCTGTGTGAAACTATCTGCTCCTTGGCTTCAAACATTCAATAAGTTCTCTGCCAAGGAATGTTTGTCCTCCCAAGACAGATCAATGAGCATGTACAGATTACAAGTAACCTTTTGCTTTATCTTGCCCTGTGCATAGTGACCTACTGTTGACTCAGTGCCTTGGTTGCTGGTCATTAGTGCAGCAGTCTCTCCCCTCCCTTAATTTCACTCATCAATTTGTCTGCTGTGGCCAGGGGGGGAAAGTGATGGGAGAGGAAGAGGATTTCTAATGCAAGATGTATTGGCAAAACTTGTGGTTGAATGGAACATAATTTGAAAAGACTTTCTAAAAAACTGTTTGCACAGGGAAGCATTTGAAGACAAAATGTGATTATGTAGGTATGTGTATACAGGAGGAAATTAAGACAAAGTGAAAGATCTTAGTTATGACTAAAGCAGAGGCATATATATGAGGCAGCCATTTTATTGGTAGTAATTATTTAATTTTTCATGGTGTAATAGTGAGCACAGTTTAAATTGAACCCTGATTTTCAGAAACCCAATCACACTTGGTATTGTTTGCATTTAACTAATGCAAAGCTTTAGCCTTGTGGGTCAAGGCAGTGGGGCAGTGTATTAGTACTAGCTTGACAACTTAAATTTGGAGGCTACGGGAGCAATAGTACACACTGCAAAAGCATGTTTGACTCAGGGTAGTGGCTTACTTTTATGGTGTTTCAGTGTTGCTATTTAAAATAGCCAGGGACTTGCTTTACAGAATAAGAGGAATGCATATCCTCACTTAGAAAAAGAAAGATGTAAATGGGAGAGGGGTGATCATTGTCTTCAGAGCCCCCGACAAAGGAAACCTTCTTGTGGCATTGAAGAAACAACAAATATGAGGTGGTGAGACTGTGAAGAGCCCAAAGATACCTGAAGCTAACTTGTTCTGTTTGCAATTTCATTTCTACTTTACATAGATATTATAGTAAATGGTCATTTGTCCATGTTTTTTGAAGCGAAGATATATTTTGCTTTTTTAACAGGGCAAAAAGGATGTTTCCCAGATATTTAACAACATCTTGAGAAGACAAATTGGCACATGCAGCCCTACAGTGGATTACATTAGTGCCCATCCACATATCCTATTCATGCTTCTAAAAGGGTAGGTGCTTTAATTTTATTTCCATTAAAGAGTATTGCTTGGAACATGCCAGCATTGCAGTTGATCTACTTTCTCACTTTTAGTTTTTTTTTAAAAAAGATTTTCAGGTCTTGTTCTAGATTTCTTGTTTTGTTTCTTTCATATTGACTTTCTATGTAACTGTATACTTTTTATTGACTGGATTGTTTTATTTGACCATTATTTCTTTACCAGACTTCGTGTTGAAATAATTATGTGCTGATTGTTTTTGACTGCTCCCCATGTAATGTGTACTTCAGTTCTTGCCCTAAACTCTTGTGTAGCATTGTTGACGAATGCTGAGTTTCATTTAGACATTTTTGCATTGCAAGAGTGACCAGCAGGAGTGTCTGTAAATAACTAGAGTCAAACTGGACCACTGTGTGGTAGAACAGAGAGAAGCAAAAATGCATTAAAAGAGTAGTTGTGCCTGTGGGACAGACTTCGCACACAATACTTGTGGCCACAAGTGAACTTCAGTTTAAGTTGTTAATTAATTCTGTAATTAACTCCACAACTTTCAGCATTAAATTTTTTTTTTTTTGGTCTTTTAACCTTGGGGACTCAGAACCTGGTAGTTCCCAGGATAACTTGGCCAAGGAGAGGGAGTAGATTCCTGTGTGGAGAGGACATCAGCTGTAGTTGTATTCAGGAGTGCGCAAGTGTTGACCTAAAACACGAGTTTTTTGTCCCCTTTACTTTTGACTAAAAGCACCTTTTGTTCAGTAACCAGTTTTGCTTTTCCAGCTCTTGAAGTCTACTGTTTTCTGCTCAATTTTCTTTTGACTTTGGGATTTCGTTTATTTTTCCCTAAGGAAAAGAGAATATATGTCATTTGGATTAAATAACTGATGTGGAAATAAGTGCATTTATTAGCTGCTCAATTTGAAACAGTGTGAACTCTCATAGTAGCTCTATGGTCACACTGGTAGCAGCCATTCAAAACCTTTTAAACTAATAGTTCTTAAGAGAATTATTTTTTTTGAAGTGTCTTTCTTGCTCTTGAGATTAAGGATTTGCATTTTTACCATTTGCTTCATAGCCAGGAAAATACTTTAGCATCATCTAAGGATTGTGCATGACAAGGCTGCAGCCCCAAGGGTAAAATTTCCTTCAGCCAGCCTCCCCCCTCTCTCAGGGGCAGACCACAGCCAGGAGAAGGATAAGCACAGGAATCCTCTAAAATGTGTTTCCTTTGGAAGCGGCCACATTCCGGCACAGCTGAGTAAGGGAAAAGTAACTGAGAGAACTAGTCACTATCATGGATCTCAAGAACAGTGAACTTGTGGTTGAGTGTGGTGGCAAAGCTCTTGGTTGCTGCCTTCCTGGCAGGGCAGAGTGGTGGTAGCCCATGCAAGTGTCTGGGCTGAGCTGGGTCTTGCTCTTACAAGTATAGTGATTTGTTGTGATTTAGCTTCAGTGTTGAAACTCTTGACTTGTTTTGAGTTACTAAACACTGGCTTGCTCAGAAAAAAAAACAAGTAAGCTAGTTAAAATGGATTTTGGTTTCATTAGTTCATTAAAATTCACCATTTATATAAACCTCAAAGTAGTTGTTTTGGGACAGTAATGATAATTCTCTCCATCATTGTTACAACTTCAATTTCATATATAGATTCAATAATTTTTTTCCCTTTTCTCTGTCTTTGCTTTTTCAGTTTTTCACTCATTTTGGTTTTGCATGTTGTGCATGTATTGCTACCATATGTATGAGCTTTATTTAAAGATAAAAAATATTTTTAGGTCACGACCCAGATTTTCTTTGGCATCTGTAACAACCAACAACATTAAGATGATAGTAAAGTTTTTATGTTATGCATATGTGCTGCTGATGGACATTTTACTGCAAGTGACCTGTCTCAGTGAATGTATTTAAAAGGCATCATTTAGGTGCTTTTTTGGAGATCCCTGATGCATGCAGCAGCATGTCAGTGTTAGTTTGGTCCTCAGGCTCCTGGTTCGTGATTTCTTGACTAGCTCTCTGCAGCACTGCATTGTATCAGAATTGCCATTTCTGGAGTGTCTTGTTAGAAAGTGCTGTTGAATTCATCAGCAGAAGTCCAGAAATCAGTCCTGTCCAGCCCTGACAGTAGTGCCTGAGCAGCTACTGCAGAACAACGTAGTGATGTCAAACATGATGATGCCTTATCTGCCTGTGTCCTGCTGCTGGGACTGTCTAAAAATGATTCTTGAATTATGTGCCTACAGCAAGGGCAGGCCCTGAATGCACAACTTGCTGCATGCCCACAGTGTGCAATGCTTGTGTGCAGTGGGAACTGGGAAACACACACTTTGTGTTAGACACCACCACTTAAAAATGTAACTTGAAGATGTTTTCATATTTATTTAATGCTAAATGCATTATATTGTTTATATTAGATAAAATATATTTATCTAATTAGATAAATATATATTTATCCAATGTTAAATGAAATACAGGAAATCAGAATCTGCTTAAAGGAAAGTGGATTTGGCTGACTTGTACCATTCCCTTTTTGTTACATGACATCATGACATTACCTGGAGAGAAAAAAAAAACCTGTCTCTATCATGACTGTAGAAGAAATGGCCCAGGACTATTGTGAAGGCTTCTCATAGTTTTATTTCTGTTGGATGCAAAGTTTCCTCTGCCCCATAACAGTTCCCAACAGCAAAAGGTTGCATTTTTGTGGCTTAATGCGAGAAGGATCCTGAATCAGAGATCACACCCAGTATTTCCTGCCTAATACTGCAGCGGCAGTGCCAGCTTTAGATAACTGTTCTTACCTTTTAGGCTTCGTTTTATTTGTTGCCTGCTTCCTTCCAGCTTCTTGGCTTCAGAAGACATACAGTACATAGTTCCCTACTTTTTTTTTTTTACTTTCTTTCATTTTGGTAGGTTATTTGACCTTCCTGCTGCAGGAGGACTTGGTTTAATAGTATCTTATTTCCTGTGTGTGCAGGCTTTGTTTTATGAGTAGGATTTCAAATGAGTAGAATGTCTGGTGCATATAGAGAACCAGATGTATTTGGGCCAGTTTTTTTCTCTGGCATCAGCATATTGCATTAGCCCAGAAATAACTCTGGTCCCTTGCAATTTAGAATATTTTTCTCTCCCATACAGTGACTGTTAAGGACTTTGTTTATGGGACTTGCATTGTTTTTCTCTAGTGACAAATTTATAAGTCCTTTTGTGAATATATATATCAAGCCACATGCTATCTCAAACCTAGACACTGCTCCAATGTGTGTTGTGATGACCTCTTCATATCACAGTGCAGTTAAAGCTTTAATGGTATATTGGCTGAGGTTGCAGAATACCCCTTGAGTTTATCCTTGGATATACTAGATTATCCAGGCTGTACAAGTTAATGTCAAATCTGATCAGAATATATGTTTGTTAAGACCTGGTGTCTCCCAGGCTTGATGCCTTCCTAATCTCCTGTTAGAGCTCCTCACCTTGTACTGTCTTCTGCACTAACCATGCAAGAATGATTCCCTTTACACTGAGATCCGTCTCTGCTCTGTCTTGCCTCTTTCAACCTCCACTGCAAGTGTTTTGAAATATTTCAAGTCCATTGTTTCATTGTCTAGTTGCCCCCAGTAGTCACTGAGTGAGGGTTTCTTTAGGTTGTAAGTTCATCCAAACAGAGAAGAACTCAATGGTTTTTTTTCTGCTGTGGAAAAACATCAACATAGAGCACTAATTGCTCATTAGAAGTGATTTTGAAAAACATTTCTATCGTTCCTGCCTGGTGGCTTTGCATGTAAGTGTGGGTGCAGAGAACATGCTAGTTATGACTGGGCAGCCTGTAAACTTCTTCCAGGCATATTTCAGGAGCCAAACCCAACTTTCCTTGCTTATATGAACAGCCAAAGGTCCATAACCCACTTCCAGATAATGGAGCATTTGACTAAGAATGATTCTGTTGATACTTAATGTTTTTAAAAGTTATTGTGTTGGAAACAATGTAATTTGCTTTTATTCCAACCAAAATATTCATTAGCCAACTACTAAATATTTTCCTGGCTGCACTCCTAGGAGCAGCTCTGCCTCTTTTTTCCTTGAAAATTAGTATTCCTGTTAATGGAGTTGATGCCTCAATGGGATATATCAGTGAATTTCCGTTGTCTAAAGAGTTATAAATTCAAGTTTGCAAATGTCCCCAAACCAAAACAAACAGGGGTTGGAGTGCCTGCATTTCCTTGAGGGTGGGAAGTTTCATTTGCCTGTTCTGAATAGCAATTCATTTTTCATCAAGCCAACTATTGTTGATACTAGGTTGAAGTATGCAGCTCTGGTATGCTTGGAAAACGCTACCATTCTTTTAAATTGCAAACTGGTGGTAAATTTGAGGGCCCACTCACAGCACAGATGGCATTTTGTGTTTTTCTTCCTTTTTTTTTTAAATTTCTTTTGGCCTAGTGATAGGAATTAATTGTGCAAAGGAAAAATGATGCTGATAAGCTCTGGGTGATAATACACAGTTCTGATATAGTATAACCGGTTTATTGAAACGAAGCATGCTTTCTGTCCCCTTGGACTTCACCAGTTTCACATGACCAAAGATTACTGGAAGAAGTTCATTTTAAGTCTTTCTTGACTGTTGGATTTAATCCTTCAATTTTTTTTTAAATGTATTTCTAACAGTTTTGTTTCAGATTAATTTCAGCTTTAAAGAAATCAAGACTTTATAGAAACAGAAGAAGATATGAATTGCCTCCCCCTTCCCTTCCTCTCCCACGATCGAGATGTGTGCTGGCTCCTGGCTTTTGCAGTGCCTGTGCCATAACAGGATTATAAACTGAGGAACTTGTGTACTTGTGTCCTGAACAAAGTCATAGCCTCTGCAGAGGAGGGGTTGAGAAGAATTCCACATAAACTGCAAAAAAAAATCTCCAGAGCTGCCAAAAGCTTAATCCTGTGTAGACTGCCTTGATAGACTCTTCTTACCTTCCTCATTAATACTCTAGAGGAATGTCCTCCAGAAGAGCAGTGGGAGGTGATGGATGGCCATGAGGTGTTACATTTTTCTTGGATAAGATGAGGAGCTCAGAATTAAATCTGAAAAGGGAGATTGTTATATTGTATGGGCTTTGCTTTTTCATAAATCTGAAAGGGTGAAGGAGCTCTGTTGAAACATTACACACTCCCCACAGTCTTTCTGCAGAGAGGAGGTGTAAAATAAATTTACACCAAAATGTGTTTTGGCTTGGGAAGAGAGAGGTTTGTGATGAAAAATTGTGGCAGCCATCTGCTCCTTGGCTTTGGGCTGAGGTCCTGAAGCTGGGTACAGTGCTGTGGCTGGGAGCTGCCCTCTGTGTGTTGTGTACCCTCTGGCACGTGTGTTCTTTATGCTATGAAGTTCCCTGTTGCGAGAAAAGTGTCTGTTTATCTTTGTTCTTCTGTGTTTCGATATTTTCTGTTTCTTTTCATTCTTCAGGTATGAATCCCCAAATATTGCCTTACGTTGTGGAATTATGCTGAGAGAGTGTATCCGACATGAACCCTTGGCCAAAATCATACTCTTTTCAGAACAGTTCCGAGACTTTTTTAAATATGTGGAAATGTCAACATTTGATATTGCTTCTGATGCCTTTGCTACATTCAAGGTAAATGATTCAATACCTGCACCATAATGTTGTGTTAAAAATGGTACTCCATCAGTAGTCATCACTGAGTGTTGTGTTGCTTTGAACTGAGTGGCTTTTTTATCGTTCAGTAAAGGATGTAATTAATTCTTGGTCTGATTGTAACAGGATTCACAACAGTGATCAAGTCTGCAAAGAACCTTTAGACAAATGTAAACACGTATTTAATTAACGTTCTTCATCTTGATAACCCAAGGTCTTTCATGCAGCTGTTTAAAACTCAAATTAATCACATGTTACATACGGTTCCTGTAAAGTGCATGACCTTTTTCTTTCCCTACCTTCCCCTGGAGACAAAACCACTGCCCATTGTGACCCCAACCACAACAGAAGGCATCGTTTAAAAGTAACTTTTGAAATCCTTGTAATTTTTGCTGTCCCTTCTGAGTTCAGCAGTTAGGTCTAGATTAATGCTATGCCTGCTGATTATTTTACAATGTATTCATAGTCTCACTTTTGTGACCCACGATTCAGTGTAAGGACCGTACTGCTAAAAGCTGAGTAGGTGGAAGAACTGCATAGACTCTGTATAGAGTCTGTTTTGTATTAAAAACAAAGTTGGGTTAAACCTGCCAAATTTCTTGGAGTTTGTATGTGACCATCCTCATTCCCTAAGGGACTAGTATAGTCTTTGAGCAAAATTTGGTGCCATGGGCTTAATGTACAGAGAAGAATTATTTATTTCTGAAAAACAATTTAAGAAAGCTGGGGAAAATTCTTTTTAGTTAAATACACTTCTAAATATATATGTAACTCCTTTTTCCTTCTATCACTGAGCTCCTTGCTGTCATAGAAACACATTGTTTATTCTTTCTTTATAAAGGTAATTAGAAACATGATTAGATAGACCTTTGGAATAACTGTAAGGATTGTTAGACTTCAGCTCAGTGATTACACGTATACTGAAACCTGTCTTTTTTGCATTCTTCAGTAATGACTTGAGCAGGATTACCAATTCACACCACCAGCTAATCAATAGCAGCATCTTTCCCTTATTTTAAGTTTCAATGTTGTGGTGTCCATTAGGTAAATCTTACAAAAATCAAACTAGCTGGAAGCACAGACAAGTAATAGTACAGTGTAGGACTCTATAAAAATGCAACATAACTGAGATATTTAAGTCTTCTGTTTGTGGCATTTTACCCTATGCTCAGAGGAATATTTGTCTGTGGTAAGCAAAAGTGCTCCTGGACTCAGTTCGCAGCTTGACAGAAGAGATTTGCATCTTTTCTCTGGGTCCTGCCTTGAACTTGACAGTGGAGTGTGTTGTTGGTGATGGACAGTCTTCACCCCAAACAGGAGGCAGAATGGGGACAAGGGTCAGTTAAGCTGTGGCAAAGACTGCAAACTGCTACAACCCTCCTCCCAAAAAAGAGGGATTGATTGTTCATGGATCTGCAGCTGTGGAAAGTTCTTCTGTCCTCTGTGAACTGAGTGTATTTTTAGCAGGATTTAAAAATAGAATTCTACATCCTCACATACACTGGAAAGAGAGGAGTATGAGGGCAATTCATCCTCAGACATAGGTCAGAAACTGCCTTTTAAAATGCTTGGGGGAAATGTATAAACTGCATTGTTTTGGGTTTTTTTTTGAAATTTCCTCTTAGCACCTGATACATGGTCAATTCTGGAAATAAACCAGCTACTCATCTCCTATTTGTCTGTTACTCTGAACAGCTGGAACAGCAAGAAGTGATATGGAAGCGATTGAGTCATGATATATGGAGCTACCTCATTTCTAATACCAGAAAAATAAGTGCTATGATTGCTTGTTGACTGGATTACTGAACTCATGTTTTGGGTTCTGTTGCCCCCATGTTGGGTTTGTAGTGTTGCCATCGAGGCGTCTGATTCAGAGCTGAAAGCCTTGGATGGTCTGTGCACCAGAGGAGGGCTTAATTAAATATGCATTAAAATCTGAGGATATTTATAGTAGGGAAGTATTGAAATTTTTTATGATCTGGAGATGTACTTCTTAATTAAATTCAGCCAGGTGCACTGCAGAGAGAAAACAGAATTGTTAAAAATGCAGAGGAAAACGTGTGTGTTTAGAGATACAAGTTGGCTGTGGAGGGTGCAAGCAGCAGTTGGAAAGAGCGCTGACTGAATACTGCCGCTCCAGGCTTTCTTGTAATTTTCTGTGAAAAACTCATTTTGTATTATATTCCATTTGTGCCCCCTGTTGAAGGATGTCGTACTTGCCTCCTAAGTGCCCTGCATAAAAGCTTGTGATTCACGTTTCACTCAGCCTTGAAAACTGCTATCATTGCAGTCCTGCTAAATAAAGGAATGTACTAAAAACATGCACTGGGTTTTGTAGGGCTCTGCTTCCCTCTTATAATTGATGGTAAAAATAAATTAAAGGATTAGTATGTAAAGATTTTTTTTTATTTATGAGGATGTGTCTGTGAATCTACTTGAGTTCTTCGTCAACTTCAGTCTGTGACTGGGGATGGAAACCAAGGAAAATAGGATGAAAAAGAGAGCAGAAACTGATTCACAAAAAAAAATACCAACTTGAATGGACTTCATCAGGCATTTATTGTGGTCAGTTTGAAAAGAAGCAATAAGATCAAAATCATACTTAAATGCCTCTCATTGGCCACTCCGTTTCATAGCTATTCATCCAGTAAAGAGATTCTGTTGTTGAGCACCAGCATTCCCATTCTGTGGGAGAGGTTCCTTTTAATTTAAATTTGAATTAGTTGGCCTTTTAGCATGGGAGGCATCCCATCCAGCTGTCTGAAAGGTCTGCTACTACTTTGTGTCAGTAAGCCAACTTTGGGCAGAAAAAGATCTGCAGAAGGGATTCATCCCATCTACCTGAGTCTGCTTCCCTGGGGAGGGAAGGGAGGGAGAGGAAGCCTGGAGGGGGAGGGAGCCTGGATGTCTAACTTAGATTGGTGACTAGCTTTCATTATTAAATAACAAAATATATTAGTTATTATATATGGCAGTTGAATTTGAGTCTTCCTTGTTGTATTCTTAGAGATGAGCAATAGCAGTTGATCCAGCTTAGCATAGTTTCCAGCTATGAGGTAGCATGTAGGTCACTTTTGGCTTGGAGACCATAGCTCATCCCTCCATAAAGGGTTAGTTTACTTTCTTCCTTTCCTCTAACCTGGTTTAGCATAAGTATTGTGCACTGTGACCAATGAACATAAGAAAAGGTGGGAGGGAAACAGGAATAAAAAAAAAGAGTATTAGAATAGTTTTATATTGATTCTGTTAGCATTAACTGAGTTCTCCTAAAAGTCCTACTAAACACATAATGCAGTGTTGTCTATAGAAACCATGTTGTAAATACCTTCTGGTAAAAAGTACTGAAATACATTTGAGAATCAAGGGACCATCAGATGAGCACGCTCTCTCAGGTAACCTTTCTCTGTTCTTCCCCAGGACCTCTTAACACGACACAAATCGTTGGTGGCAGAATTTCTGGAGCAAAATTACGATCCAGTGAGTATCAATGCTAAAACAAATTTTTAATTTCTGTTCATGCTTAGCTGGAAAAAGCGTGCTTTCAATAGCAGAGGGTTTCATGTTTTGACATAAAATAGTCACCTATGACTGCAAAACTAAATACTGCTTTTTACCAGAGCAGAATCCTTGCATGGTGTGTGAAATACAGGTAACCCCTCTTCACACACCTGGGGACACATGCCAAGGTTTCAGGAGAACTCGTACCTTAAAATCAAGTTTTATTCCTCTGTGTGTGCATCGTATCTCCTCATATGTGAATGGAACTGAAACTTTATGTGTAGATAGATCATGGGCAAAAATGTGCACAGTTTGAAACAGCTTTGTGATATCCCAGCACTGATAGGGCCATGCTGGTGTTATTTATAATATTTTGGGACAAAGAAGAAGAGTTACTGAAAGAAGTTTTAGCATTACTGGAAATTACATGTACCTAAATGAGGGACTGAGGTCTGAATATTCCTTTTACCATCCTAAGGCAATCAGTCCTTTGGTTAGCTGCCATTTTTCACTTTGATTTTTTGGCTCTGTTTTGGACAGAGTTGTGGGTCAGAAAAATTCAATTGGAATCAACTAAAATTGGACTGATACAGATCATGGAATTATATTACTATGGATTATATTCTTATGTTACCTGAGCTATTCTTTATTTCATTGCCAAAGTGAAAAGACAAATTTCTTTCATTCTAGTTACCAAGAAGGTTAAACAAAGAGCAGGCTAATTATTGCTGAGTCACAAATGCTGCTTAACTGGAGCAAAATTAGTGTCTCTGCTACTTTTCTCTCATAATACTGAAGCACTGCTCTGGAACAGTCCCCATTTTACATTTATTTAACATTTTAAATTTTTAAGTATTAATTGCCTGAGTGAGCATTTTTTTTCAGGTGATTCTCAGACAGCAGTGTTGGGGTTTTTCACCTTTTTGGTAGATGGTTTGGACATATTGTAGCCTTCTCTCTCAGTCTTCTTGATGACAAGATTCCCTTGACCCAGTCCTGCAAAAGCCAGCACATGCTTGGCTCCTGTGATCCTCACTGGGTAAATGGCTTTAGTGAGTGAGGGTACTGAAAGCAGGCGAGGTGGCACCTCGCAAAAGGAGCTTTTGGGATGCACCATCACCATTTTGGGCACAGTATTAAATCACACACCCAGTCATGACCACGATATGAGCGAGTGGACATTACATGCTAGACCCACGTGTCCTGGCAGCACATTCACCCTTCTGTAAGAGAAGGCTGTACAGGCTCTGGATTACTTCTGTCCTAGTTGGCTCATGCCAACCCCTGTTACATCCAGTCCATATGTGGTATCCCCCTCTGCAGTACTTGGAAGAGGAGTGTATCTGGGCATTAACTCACTGTATGACAACTAGCCAAGGAAAAAGGCCTGGCACTGCAGTGAAATGTTAGAGGGTGGCACTGCTGTGGCCTCTGCTGCTCCTCTGGGGTGGCAAGGACCAAGAGGAGGAAGAGTGGACATGGATCTGATGCATTTGTGTTTTCTTGTTACTCTAGATCTTTGAGGATTATGAAAAACTCCTCAACTCTGAGAATTACGTGACAAAGAGACAATCTTTGAAGGTAAAGGCTCGGAGCGCTTTCCTCCTCAATATGTACTCCATGTTATGCAAAATATCAAGGTGTATGTATCTCAGTGGAGCAGCTGTTTTTCTAACAAAAAAGAACTAAAGATTGTGATGCTCTTCTTGAAATGCACAGGAGCTCAGTGTCTTTTGTTTTCTGGATGTCTGGTGAAACATTGGGCCGTTTCTATGGAACAAGCCCTATCATTTTTCATCTGACCTCAGATGTGTACTTTGGTTCAGAACATAAGTTGAAATGAACTTGAGAGTAACATGGTAGTCTCTGTTTGGTGCACCAAGTCTGACACAACCTGCAGATGGAACCAGACAGGTGTGTTAATGTAACACATGAGTGAAATGAAGGTGTCTTTGTGGGACACTGCACTGCACTTGCTTCTGTCCTAACTGCTCACACCAGCTCCTGCTACACCCAGCCCATATGCAGGATCTCTCTCCTCTCTGTAGCGTTTAGAAGATGAGCATTACTGCGCATTAAGTAACCAACTGCATGATAACAAGTCTAGTTACCTTTTTTTTTTTTAAAGGTAGTGACATTGAAACCTCTTAAGGAAACATTGAAATATGCTGCTGCTTTCTCTGCGTTAAAAAATAATGTGATTAACTGAAAAAAAAAATGTGTTTTTTTCTAATTGTGCCTATAGCTGCTGGGTGAACTGATTCTGGACCGACACAACTTTGCCATCATGACAAAGTACATTAGCAAACCAGAAAATCTGAAGCTGATGATGAACTTGCTGCGAGATAAAAGCCCCAACATTCAGTTTGAAGCATTCCATGTGTTCAAGGTGAGCCAGTATGAGCTGTAGAGGTGGCAGTCATAAAAGTGTCTTTCAAAGTGGACAAGAGAAAGCCCAGAAAATTAAGGCAAGAGTTGAGGTTTACAGTGACTTCCAGCCTTTGAGAATGCCATAATTGAAAACCTTTCTATCACTCAACCTCTGGTTTCTGGTTGCCTTCCTTCAAGTGAGATCTTAAGGAGCAGCATTTTGGTTTGGGCTGAAGGTAGTCAGTCAAGTAGTGATGAGCTATAAGTAACAAAATACACAGCTTCTAAGTAGTATCCAGGGGACCTTCCCCCAACTCTTAGGTCATTTTACCCTGTGATTCTGGGTAAAGATTAAAAAAAAAGTCTAAAAACTCTTCATTAAGACTAAAAGTAGATTGTGCTGGTGCTATGCACCAGTGCAAACACAATTTGCTTTTAAAATTTTGCTATTAAAAAGATTTAGTAAATCTAAGTTTGAAATGAGTTTAATCCTTCCATTGTTTTGCAGTGATATCGTTAATGTGGTCTTAAACAATTATCAAACCCAATCAATGTCGGTTTTTTTCATGATGATTAATGTTCATAAGTGAGAAGTTTACCAATTCCCATCAAAAGAGTTCTCTGCTCTGGGACAGAGGGCGAATTGGATTGTTACTATGTGAAACTAACTTTAATTTGGAATGAACACGTTAATTTCAAACTATAAACAGAATTAGTAATGATTTTCAGAAAAGAAATTGAGCCTGTAAAGATATCCCTTCCCAGAGATGGTTACGAAAGATACCAGATCACACCAAAAGATTGCAAAAAAAGCTACATGACCCTCCAGAAATTCAGGGTGACTTGTTGAGTTTTGTGCTTCTGCTTTGGAAAAAAAGCTTTCAGATCTTCAGTGTGGAGGCTTAGAGAATGTGCAGCTTCTCCAAAAAAGCTTTTAGTTTCCTAAAAGAAAAAATCTTCAAGGAAGATTAAAAAAAAAATCCCTTCCTGAAATAAGCCGTTCCCTTGCTGACTCCCTCCGTAGTCAACTGAACCACTGTGAGTAACTTCTACTCTTCTTATCAAGAGGTATGTGGTTCCAAGATAAGCAAGCAGTCAGGCTGCAAACACTTGCAGTCTTTGAGATGCCTATGAGGGGAAGGTATCAGAGGATTGTGCTCTCTTAGCCATGCTGTGAATAAATGCCAGATTTTTATTTATGAAACACATGAGTTGCTGTTCCTGAATTAATGATGGGCATAACCCATGCCTTGGGAATGGCTGATTTCAGTTATTTTAAGAGGCATTCAAAAGGACTTGGAATAACTTGAAAGGATTCCAGTGTGCAACCATGTCATGCGTTGCTGTTGCTCCCATTCTGCCTTCTCATTCCTCCCTTCCTTTCCTTTTTCAGTATGCTGCATCCCATTTCCAGTTAGAGTGGGAATATTGCAGGCTCAGCCTTGCTTGACCACTAGCAGTTGCTGCTGCCAGGTAGACATAATGCTTGGACCTTGGAGTGCCCAGCAAAACAAAGAGGGAGCAGCAGTGACATTGTGTCTCTTCAGTTTAAAGGGAGGGCCAAGCTCTGTCCTGAGATACTCAGCTCAGTGGGATGCTGTTGGTTTTTTTCCGGTGGTACCAATCAGCAGCATTTCAGCGGTGCCATGGCATTCCTCACGCTGCCTCACACGCACCGGTGCTCGGTGCTCGTTGTGGGGAAACTGCAGACTCAGATCAGAGGCTGATCAGCTGGAAGTGTCTCATTTGTAACCACCAACAGCACACGAGAGTAACTGTAGAGGTGCAGCAGAGCTCCCCTTTTAGGATCCTCCTCGCTAAGGATCTGGGTTCCCTGGATGTGGAAGCATTCAGCTTCTCCCGAGGGGGCAAGGGTCATTACAGGCTATGTCATAGAAAGTCGCATTGTGAATTAGCTTTGTAGAGAGGATCAGAGAAGATCTTTTCCCTCTGATTTCACTTCTTAAATTGAGTTCTAACTGCTTGAGAACTACTGAAGGAAATCCTTAAATATTTAAGAGACTGACTGTTTGTGCCCTGTTTTGCAGTGTCCCTGCCTTCTGTTTCTGGATTTGTGTCCCTCAGCCAGGTTCTCTTGTCAGCTGTAATAATTCCATGTTAATGTAACTGGGAGAGGAATCTTGTCCTCAACTTTAATCTCATAAATTTTAAACTGTGCCTACATTTTTAAGTTATGCTTGCAAAATACCTGTGCAGTCTTAGCTGAAATTACAGTAGACTAACCACAGTGATTTGGAATCAAGGTCTGCTGAGAAGTAGATACTTGCTGCTCTGTCTGAGCTGCCAAAAGATTTGGGTTTAAATTACCTGATTTAGATGTTTCACCAGTTAGACACAGTAGGAATGAAAAAGTGTTTGTTTTGTAAGCATCCAGATTCCAACACTCCCATGCCCCAGCTGACCCAAAAAAAGGCTTATGACTGTTACTCCCTGAGGCAATTTCTAATTATTAAAGATTTGAAACTGTAAGAGAGATTAAAATGATGAGTACTTCTAGTGCAAACTTACTTTGCAGGAACATTTTGTGGCTGAACAAGCCAATACCCCCAAGTTCTGACAATATTTCATTCATCCAGGTTGCTTTGGGTGGGAAAATGAAGACAAACAGACTGCCCACTTGCAGTGCCTCTTTCCATTCTCCACTGTGGAGATGCTTGATTTTCCTACTAACTCCAGCTCCTTCTCTTTCTTTTCCCTGAGCAAAATGGAGCTTCTAGCTTTCAGCACCATCCTGAATGTCTGCAGCTGCTTTGTAGAGCTGGGTGTCCCAGGCAATGTATGCACGAGGATTACCCAGTATTTAATCACTGTGAAAGGCTAACACACCTCACCCCCTTCCCTCCTCCTCCATAAATAATCCAAGGGGGTTGCCTAGAGTTGTAGGCTTATAAGAGTCCCCGGTTCTTCTCTGCAGTGATTTCAGTGGAGAGATGTCAGTCTTGAACACACACACACTGAAGACTTCCCAAGTATTGGAAAGGGCTCTCCAGCTTCTGTGATGGGTTTGTGATATGTTTGAGTAGTGGAGCCTACTTGGAATTTGCCTGTATGGAGGGGAGGCCAAATCTGTCAGATGTAGGTGAATGCAGTGCAGGTATTCCTTTGACCTTACATATTTACAAATAAAAGTTAACAACAAGCTCTCTTGGCTTTCACGTAAACAATTAGATTATTTTGAGGAAAACACCCTGTAGCAGTGAACTGGGATTATGCAACTTTCTCATTCTTAAGCAGACATTTAGCAAGATATATTTTACTGTTTAAATCTAAAAATAGAATGGGTACACTGTGTTTTGTGACCTTAGTTTAATTTTTCCATTCTCTTTCATGCACATTACAAGCTACCTCCTGCAGCTTGCTCTGCAAATGGCCTCACATAATTTGACTATACCAGCAGTTTCCTCTTGGTATGAAGCTGAAACCACATTTGTGGGGATGTGTCCTCTCTGTTTCTTAGCTGGAGAGCTTAAAGGGCAGGAATTATTATGCAAAGCATTGTGCTACAAGCAACACAAATCGTAAGGCTCTTCTGTGCAGTTTCCTGACAGTAAGATTGTGCATGACCCCAGAGTAAGTTTTAAAATACTCAGTCCAGGGCATCCAACCTCTGTAATCACTTTTGCTCTGCTGTAGTCCCAGAGGATGGTAATGCCTGGTTATGAATTGTAAGGAAATAAGGTCAAAGTCTCTAATCATGTAATTTTGATGTTTGTTTGAAGAAATACAGTATGACTTTTAATGGAGAAGATAGGAACTGTTCCACTTTGCAAATATTCACAAAACAGAACTGTGCCAAAACAGCTGTATTTAGAGTTGGAATTTTTATATGAGTGCTCTCTTTATTTTGGGTCTCCATCTCTCTCAGCTATCTGAATTTAGTGCTCTAGAACACTAACCCTTTCATAATAAAACTACAGGTGAAACTAATTTCTCTGTGGTTATCTTCAACTTCATTTTAGTAGAAATATTCCAGAAAGCATTAATAATGATTTCTATTTTAGGGATTGATCTCTCCCCCTATGACCATACAGAGTTCTGAATGAGGGGGACTCTTTTTAAAGTCTCATGGTGGTCCTACTCCTGGGCTATGTGAAGCTGATCAGTTGATACTGGTAGAATTGATTTTGTTTGCTCAGCTAAAGTATTGAATAACATTTCAGGAATTTTCTGGTCCTTGAACATTCTCTCTTTACGAGTCCCGGTTGACACTGAGCAAGACTGGCAGTTGAGATGATCTTTGTTTGAATGTTCAGTTTGCCAGTTTTGCAAGGGGAAGATTATAATCTATAAATATTCAAGCAGGAAGATAAACAGGATGTGATGGCTTCTATTAAACTAAGTTCTTTAATTATTTGCTATGGTAATACCAGTGGTAGGACCAATATGCAATGCTATTTACTAGGTTTACCACTAAGCTTCCAGTTCTGTTTGAAGAGCAGATAGCTTTTACAGGAAGAATTATTTAGATTTCTTCATTTTGAGTCACCCTTCACCTCTATTTAGGGACAAATATTAGAGAGGCCTAATATTCATTGAAGGAAGATGTTTAGCACTTCAAGGTCAGGCCTTCTTTAATGGCTTCCATTTGCATCATCAGATTATTTTTGAACATGTGGGTCCTGCCAGCGTACTTGATGGTTTTCTTCTCCTGGTCACCAAGGTGGAACTGAACTCCTAAATTAAAAACTTTTAATAAAGATCTGTAAACAGTTACTTTCCTTATCCCTACCTGTAGGTTTAGGTCCTGCTTTTCTCAAAGGAAGCTTGTCCAGATGACTGGGGGCTTATCATAGTCCACATCCTGGGAGTATCCAGTCTCCATCAGCGTGATCACCTGCTGTAGGTCAGCACATGGGGAGCTGCATCCTAGAGCAGCTCCAGCTGAGAATATGAACTGCTGCAGTCTTAGCTGAGCCAAACATCTGTACACATGAGATTTCAAGATTCTCTAGGTAAAGCACAGACTGGAAAGCTGTAAAGTATGTTCAGTAGTGATGTACATCCCCAGACCCTTTTTATCCCAGTCTAGGGGGAACCAATACATCAACAGCAGTGTATCAAAGTTATTTGCAAAGGAGGAGATCCTGCTTTCATGTGCTGCAGGCAGCAACAGAACACTTAGTTGTTGACAGTCCATCAGGTGTAGTGAGAGCTGTAAACTGGCTGTCCCACCCAGGGATTGGTGTGTCCCTGGTACAAAACTGCCTTCTGAGTACCTGGGACATTGTGCAGGAGAGCTGTTTTCCAGAATGGGTGCTCTGAAGGGGTCCTTGAGAGTGGAGGCTACTCGTGAGAAGTTTAAAGTGGCAAGTAGGAGTAAAAAAGGAATTATATAGGGTAATCAGAGAAGGGTGAGGAGGCCTGTGTGAATAACTGTAGATACTGTGCTTTCACAGGGACCACAGCCTGGCCACTGGATCAAGGAAAACTTTGTAGTACACTTGGAGTCTGGAAGTGTTCACCCAGCATAGCAGAGGTTGCAGTTCTTTCTGCAGAGCACCTTGAAGCAGAGACTCCTAGGGACCAGCCTGAGGAGGAGGGATCCAGAGGAGATAAAAGCATAGGCAGAGGTTAGGGCTGTTACAACATCAGGATGCCAGGGTTTAAGAGTAGATGCTTTGCCTCACCTTAATGGAATAAAAAAGTACTCTTACCTTCCTGTTTGGGCAGAAATACTGTGTGGCACTGTTGATGTGTGTTGAACCCCACTCCTTCCACACATTCCCCTCATGTGGCACTTGATACAAGCGGTAGTGTGGAACATCCTCTTATTGTAATGTATGAAGCCTGACAGTGGGTCCAGTCTGAACCCTGCCCCAGGCTGTACCAGGTGTTGTTTCTGGGGGCAAGGGGCTGTAAGGCAGGCCCCCAGCAGAGTGTGCGTGTTCCTCCTCACGCAGCACAGCTCCTCCCTGTGCAGCTGGACGTGGCCCAGGTTCTCATGTGGGCACGACCTCAGTGGAGATAAATGAATCTGTGGAAGAGGCCCCCAGGTCTGGAGCCATCAGCTCCGTGGCTGGGCCAGCGGTGGTGCCCCTGCTCCTGGACAGACAACATGCCATTCTGTGCTCTCAGCAGATGTTTGTTTTCATTCTGGTTTGGACAGGCTTGGAGGGAAACTGGGTGCTTTCCAGTTCTGTCCATCCTTAGTTTCTTCTCATCGGGTAGAGAACAACTGAAGTTATTTCCGTCATTGCACAAGCGCTCAGGCGGTGTTTTGTTGACCAGCCATGGTAACCTCGGTGCTAGCCAGTTCCCTCTGTGGGAACTCCTCCCAGGGTTGCTGCACGTGTGTTCCCACCGCAAGCCCCCCGCCTCACCTGCTCCTCCTGGCTGATGTCTGCAGAGGCCACATCTCTGCAGGCTGAGGTCCCTGAAAATAGAGCTCAGCACCACTGGCCTTTGCAACCAGCCTTAGGTTTACCATCCTCAGCCGGCACTTAACGCAGGGGAAAAACTTAAAGAAACGGTGTTGCAGTGTAAGGGATAATATTCAGAGCTGGAAAACTGCAGCTTTTGGGATTACAGGGGAAAAAATCAGAGCATGGGTAGGTTTATCCTTAAAACCTACTATTGCAGAGGACCAGTAAGTCCCCAGTGCTGGGCTGGCTGTGCCCGGTGAGCATCTGTGTCTCAAGTCACCTCCCTCCATCGCCAACCTCCACTGCTCAGTGAGGGCTGCGAAGGTGCTGGGCACACCATCCTGCTCCTGCTGCTGTAAGTTTCCACGCTCCCATGAATGGATTAGGCAGAGGGAAGTTGGGCCTCTGACATATTTTTCCAAACCAAAACAAAGCTGGCAAGTCTAATTTTAGGCCTGGTTTAATAAGGAAATGATATCAATACTGACACAAAGCTTTTCCATCCTTCTGATAATTAATTTCTATGTATTTGTCTTGTGGGTGGAAGAGGCTGAGAATTGATAGCTTGCTTCGGACAGCTGGGTTTCCAATCAAAAGTTTTTATCAACAAAGAGCAAAATGAAAGGGAAGCGATACCACACATGGGCATAGCTTTGCTTCAATTTGCTCTTGAACCAACATGTTTGAACTCCTCTCTGTCTGCCTTGGGACAAGGTGTGTAGCAGCAGAGTATCCGCCTGCCAGCCTTCAGCTGACTTGTTAGAAAATAACTTTATGGGTATGTTGTCACTGATGTTCTCTCTTTCTCTCCGTCCCCACCCCCTCACTGTCTCTCTATGCCTGATTTTGTTTGCATGTTAGGTTTTTGTGGCCAGTCCAAACAAAACACAGCCTATTGTGGAGATCCTGTTGAAAAACCAACCCAAGCTAATTGAGTTTCTGAGCAATTTCCAGAAAGAGAGGACTGACGACGAACAATTCACTGATGAGAAGAACTACCTGATTAAGCAAATCCGAGACTTGAAAAAGCCGACGGCATGAAGAACTCCTCTTGTTTTCCACTGTAGACATTAAACTGAGTTGTTAACTTCCTCTGTGTCCCTTAAACACCACAATAGTGCTTGAGAAGGCGCAAAAAGTGCCTGGTTTTTATTTTGTCTTTGTTCCTAGATGTCAAGAATATAGGGGTTTTACATGAGAACTAAAAAACCAAAAATCTAGAATAATATATTATTTTTAATCAAGACTATAATTATTTATGTCAGTTTAGAATCTCTCTGTAATAGAAGCTGGTGTGACAGACTTTCATTTGTGCTTAAGAAGAATGAACCTCTTTGCTTAACTTTATCAGCAAACTCAAGCTGCTGGCAAGTGCACAGAGCAGGTCTTCTGAGGACTGCAACGTTGTTCCTTCACACCTGTCATTGTGACTTGCTTCTAGCGCTGCACACACACACACACAAGACTGTGAAAGAGTACCTTCGTCTCTGGAGTTAGCTGCACTTGTAGGTCAAGTCCTTTAGTCAGAACAGAGGGAGATGAAAAAGCAGTAAAGGTCACGTTTTTGCTTCGTTTTGTATTCTTTTAAGTTTTGTTTTTCCCTAGATCAGAGGTTTCCTATTCAGTACTGTGGAACAGATGGATACATCAGCCAGTTGAGCTGTTTCTGCCTGGCTCCCATTTCCCTGTATGTGATCTATCTTTTGTTAGAGCACAGGCCAATCCCATCAGCTCCCAAGCAGTCTGATGAGGAGCTCATGTACCCCACAGTGGGAAGAAGGCAAGAGCAACCCCCCTCCATCAAGGCTGTGCTCTATTGCCAATAAAGATCCTGCATCTACGGAAACCAGCAATAGCAGAGAATATGGGGTCGTGGCCAGAGCTGCTCAGCTGAATCATGCTAAGTGCTGAGCCCCAGCACCAGTGAGAGAGGAGGGCCCTCAGTGTCTTCCCGTCTGAATTCCAGTCCTGTCTGTGCAAGGTGGGGTTGAGCTGAGTTCACCAAGGGGATGCTGAAAAGGTGTCATCCTGAACCGCTGAGTGGGCTGAGGTCCCCAAGCCTGCAGGTGCTTTCAAAGCTCAGAGCATTTACTGGATATCAAAATCAAGGGTAGGAGGCCATTTAGCAGCCCCAGGCACCAAAGGCTACTTATAGTCTGGTGTTTTCTGTCCTTGCTCATCCTGACGTGAATTCAGGCTCTGCATTAAAGTTGTAGAATGGGAAATTGTTGCACTGCTAATGTTTTAAGTTTAATAAGCTCTGTGGTACAGACAGTGTTTCCCTAGTGTGTTGGAAGAGGTTTTGGGGTCTTTTGTTTTCTAGCAGGAAAATGTTACTTTGAGGCTTTATTAGGAAGTGGAGTTTGAGAGCAGGGAGTGGAAATCTCTTGAATTTTTCTGGACAGCCTGAGTTTTCCTTTTTGCTGTAAGACAGTTCTTTAGCTAAAACTCTAGCTAATGCTTCAGATAAAAGGTGACACTGAATTGTTAAAACAGAACGATCCCTTTTCTTTCATTAAACTGTGGTATATTGGGGTGACTGATACTTTAATTTTTGTGCTTTAGAAAAGGGAAGAAGTGGAACAGATTGTGGACTCATTTTTTTTTTCAGATGTCAGATACACACAACAAATATACATCTTAGTTGCCTGGAATTAAAAAAAAAATTACAAGCTATTAAAGGCATGATTACTGATCACCCTTTATTTCTATCCCTGTGGGGTTTTTTTCTCTTGTCTTTCTGGGTAGCCAGACTCCATCCAGTGCTTAATTCCTTCCCTCCTTTGCCAAGTGGTTTCAGCAGATGGAGAGAGATGAGCAGCACTGCCTTTGGAGCTCAATGCACTTTGAAGCATCACTTCTGCAGCCCTGGCTGGCAGGGGGCTGGCGACCCCAGCCCAGCTTAACCTGACCACAAGCTGCACCTCCAGCCCCATGGGTGGTGCTCGCTGTCAGTGGTCGCTTGTGGGTCGTTGAGGGACCATCTCCAGAATCGCAGTCCTCGGAGCCAGTGATTTAAGTTTGATCCTCTGACATTTGGAGCCTGAATCCGAAGAGTGCTTGGCTGTGCTCTGAGCTCCTGGGGTGGGGCTGGTCTCCAAGGCTGGTTTAACAAAGAGACACGTATCCATTGCCTCAGCCCCTGGAGTCACATGAGAACACGGGGCTTCCAGCTAGTGCTCGGAAAAAGCATCTAATGGAGTGTTGCTGAGGAATGCCTGTCCTTGACAGAGTGAATGTGACCCCCACGGAGGTGCCCAGAGAGTGAGGGGTCAGTGCTGTGAGCTGCTCTTTTCTGCACGGCCTGGACGTGGAGCACTTGAAGGCATACAAACCTGGCTGTAATATGAGGAGTGAAGTGACACCCTGGTGTTTGTGCAGGCAGAGATGTGCAAGGCCAATGGGGAACACGGCATTGGGCCCCATCCCTGTGAGGGCAACGTTTTCCAGGGCAAGCAGTCATTGGACCACATGAGTAAGTGGTAAGGAAAACTTTGAAAAAGTTGTGTGTGTGTCTGCAAGAGAGAGGGGGGAAAAGACATGGTCTTACAGTAAAATTACACTTTCCAGGCCCCTTGCAGCTTATTTTACAAGAAGCCAGTCCTGAAGTAGATATTGCCAACACATCTCAAAGTAACTGAGTCTTCCCCAGGCTCAGCTTGCTTAGGTCTTTGAAAGAATAAAAAGCAAAAGAAAAGGTGAAGATGAAATTAAGCACCATAACAATATTTCACAGCAGATGGGGACACATCCCTAATTAAATGAAAATGAGGTCTTTTCTAGTGCGACTTTGATATAACCACAGAACTCCCAATTTCCTTTGGTGCATTCAGTCAAGGTGATTCTTCTGCCTAAGGGAGTCCTCCCAGCAGGAACTCACAATTTATCTGAAATTACTATCTGAGGGAGCTGTGTGATTGCAGGACACAGTTCATCAGAGTGAGGACAGGAAAAAAGGTTGTAATCCAGAGAGAGAAAGAAGCTGGGGATGCTTGGTCTGCAGCCTCTCCTCTTCCTTCCCAGACTCAGGGGAGTTTGGATCGTATGAATGGATCTCTGCCAACACGCAGTGTACAATCCTGCAACGTCAAACCTTATTTGATACAGCAGAGTGCCAGCAATCTTTAAACCATAAACTTCTGTCCTGGGATTTGGGCAGCTTGTGCTGAAATAAGAAAAATCTGATTAGAGGCGGCAACAGGCTCCCCAGTGCGCACTGGCATGTGCGCCAGCAGGTGTGAACCGGGGGGAGGCCACGGGACTCTGGCCTTCAACAAACGTGGGCGTTAGGACTGCTTGAGCCTCTTAATCTTCATTCTCCAGAGAAAAGATAAAATGAGAAGGAAAGAATGACTTGGACCTTGTAATCTAATGATAACACACACGAGGGAGAGGAGCTCCAGATCCCATTTGTTCTCTAGCGCGTGCTTTGCTCTTGTCTGTGAAATTGGAGCAGGGCTGACAGAACTCGGGCCTCTTTCCAAAGGGCGCAGTGGTGTTTGGTCAGTAGAGAGGCTTTTTCTCTGGGCCAACAAGTGCTTCATTTTTCTGTCTGAAGTGGAAGCACTTCAACATTTTGCCTGGAAGCCCCTTCCTGCAGAACATCTTATGCCTGGTGGTGATAGTTGTTATAAGGCATTGTGACATGAAAGGTGATTGTACCTTAGCTCTCCCCTTTCTTGACTGAGCATTCTTGCATAAAAATATAGGTTTCCATGGACTGGGTATAAGGTATCCCAGAGCCTCCAGTGGGAGGTTTGGCCCCATGGTGAGAGAGACTCCTGTGGGCGAGAGCTGCTGTGGCTGAGGGAAGAGAAGGAAGAGAAAGTCCCTGCCACCCCAGCTGAACGTGAGCCTTGCCTCCAGCAAAGGCTCCAATCCCTCAGGCTTTGTTGTGAGGCCACAAGGTATGAGCAGACCAAGCGAGCTCTGAGCACAGTTTGTGCTGGGTAGGGAATGTGGGACAAGGCTAAGGGGAAGCCTAAGCCTAACTGCAAGATTAGCAGTTTTGGCCATGTGGTTCAGCTCTAAGCCAAGTGTCTCACAGGGCTGTGACTTGGCCCAGCTTCCCCAAGAACCCCAGGGAGAGGCAGGCCAGGAGCCCAGCCCTCCTGATTCATGGTCCTGCTCCACAGCGCCTGCCTCAAGCTGGCCCCTCTTTCCAGAAATGTGAGAGGAGGAAAAACAATCAGACAACCCACCCCTTTTCTATGGCATCAGTTGCAAGGGACTTTCCAAAGCCACAGTAAAAATAACCTTTTCCACTTCAGGCTGTGTTGCACCAAGTGGCAGCATGGGGACAGCCTGTGCCAGGGGTGCAGCCATGGCCAGCCGTGCCACAGAGGGGAGGCAGCTCCCCCCCTGTGGCTCAGTGACTGTTGTGCTGGGGAGAGGGCAGGTGGTGTGCCAGCACATCCCGCGGGACAGCCGTCGGCCTTGCATCTGCAGCTGAACACCGTAATTCGCCATTGCTACAAGAGCTCTGTAGCTGTTTTCATCACCCTACGGCACCGGCACCAGCTGGGAGGGCTTTGCTGCCAAGCCTTGTCCCCAGGAAAGCCCCACACTGCCCTTACCATCCATGAGACTGCAGATATCTGCTGTCGTGCAGCACATGAGCCATGGTCTTGTGTGTCTCCCATGCACCTCAACCTCCTCCCTCCCTCAGTGTCAGTTTTGCACCTTGGTAGTGATGTCCACAGGTCTATGGGATGAGCTGTGTTTTTATTCAGAGCCTCTCTCCCAAGTCCAGATTTGGGAATGAAGCCTCATTGTCCCATGGCCAAACGTGTAACCTGTGTGTTTTACCTGCCACGCTGTGCCAGCAGGCACCTCCAGCATGTTGAGGTTTGACAAACGGTTGGACACAACAAGCACCTGACCCCTGAGGTGACAGGTATGAACAGTCTTTTGGCTGCACGACATACACCAGCCCAGTCACAGCACCATAGCCCAGCTCCTCACAATTAAAGGAACAAAACCCACCCAAATCCCCAGTGCAGCTCTCCTGGGGAGAGCTGCCAGTCCACTAGTGAACGGAGTTATTTCTTCCAAGAGCACAGAGAAGACAGGACCATGTCTTTGGGGCCATG